CAGTTCCCTCAGCCGGGACGCTGTTACCGGATTGCACTGTACCGCCGTAATGGACCGGATCTTGGGCAGCGCTGCTTTCCGCCGCTTGGCCCGGAGGTCCCGGAAGCGCTCCGGTGTTCGCGAGCGCTTTGACGGGCCCGGCGCACGTCGAGGGCTGGTGTTCGTGCTCGACGTGCGGTGCGATGGGCTAATCAAGCTCGCCGACTCGGCGGGTAGGCTTGATGGTCGAGCCGATGTCGCTGGAGGCTCTCCCACAGGGCTCGGCGGTCGCGCCGGCGCCCTTGGTTGCGGCGGCGCTGACGGCCGCAGGCTCGGAGGCTGTCTCCGTACCGGGCTCCTCGGTCGACCCGGTGTTCGCGGCTTCCGCGGCGTCGTCGGCAGCGGACTCAGCGGCCGAGGCTGACACGGCGTTGGTGGCTTCCGCGGCGTCGTCGGCAGCGGACCCAGTGGCGCCGGCGAAGAACGAGGCTGGGCGCAGTCGGCGCTTGTCTGCGTCGAGCGCGAGACCCGTGTGGTGACCGGACGAGGCCGTGGGTCCGCCAATCGCCACCTCGTTACCCTCTCGTCCGGCAAGTCCACCAGGATGAGCCGCCACGGGAGGAACGACACCCCTGGATCTAGGCGTCGTCCTTCGCAAACCTCGGCCGACGGAGGAGGGCTCCGGTGTCGGGCGACGGGTGCCCTTGCAGCTGGGGGTCGCTCCGGTCCCAGTCTCCACGAAAGCTCCGGCTCGTGGTCCGACGGGAGACTCCCGGGTGGAGCGGCGACGGGCGCTCCTGCGGCCGGGGGACGGTCCGGTCCCCGCTTCCTGGCTCGCGGGATGGTGGCGGCCTTCCTGCTCCGGCGGCGTAAACTTCGCCCAGATGGGCAGAGGAAGGGAGGCAGAGGAAGGAGACAGAGGCCTGGTAAAACTTTTCGATCGGAAGGCCGGGACTCCCGCTTCCTTCCGATCGCAAAAGGGTCAAGCTCGCTCTGTTAGGTTACGAGGACTCAAGGTGCTTCAGGATAACGGCCTACGAGGTAAGCTCACGTTATCCTGAAGCGAGGAATCA